AGGTCGACTGCATAGGAAAACATGAGAAAATTGAGGGACTTAAGGTCCACACGCCACTAATGGTTGAGCTTAGAAACAAACCGCAGGTAATAAGGTTATTCGGTCTAGCGGTCATCCCAACTCAGCGTCAGAAATCACCAAAAGCGTACAAGCAGTAGGCTTCAGGATTTCCATAGTCAATGTACCACCGCTTGCTGAAGAGGCACAGAGTTTTGAAACACCTGCATTGCGCATTCAGGGTTTATCGTTTTGTTAGTTTAACAAAAGCCTATATTTGGTCACTGGTGACGACTGCACCACCACCATTTGCAGTGTTTTATAGTAAATATTCCCACGTACTTTTGAGTAGATTATTTTCCCTCAACCTCGACATGGTGTCCTTCCCACTTGACAGAGAGGTCGCCGTCACTATTATATGTCCTTCCTCAGGAAAATGGAGAATATTGCTATATAATTTAGTACTGGTGTCATTTTCGGTAATTCCCTTCAGCATAGCAAGTCTATGTTCTTAACGAAGTACAAACAATTAAATTCACATAAATATGGCTAACTACTGCACTTGACAGTTCAAAAATTGTAATAAATACCGAATGCAAAAGCAGTATACTTTCGCGCATACCCGTTGAAGCAAATAAATGGTACATATGAGTCTTGTTATGGAGTATGCAAAAGGTTAAACAATGCATTGCCTAATAAGGGATAGAATAACCCACACAATTGACAATGGACGTCGCTTAAAAAACTATCTTGTAATTCACTCAAACATCCTACGGAGAAGACCGAATAAAGAGGCTCAATTCCAATAACAACATATTTCCCTAGAAACACTTGATAATTGGGCTGACAAGTAATGAGAGGCATCGATTGCATTTTCACAAAAATGAGGTTACAGGGCCAGACACCTTATGTTATGTTTTCTAGAAACCCTGGGCCGCGAAATCGGCAACATCTCTTTATAGTATGTTCAATATTAGTCATATAACGACGTAACAGTCGGTCTAAGAAATAATTCTGGTGGCCGACTGGAACCTATTGCCCGACTGGCGCCCCCAACGATGTGTTACAAATCAAGGAACTTCATACGTTTTTCTGCGGTACCTACTGAGCGAAGAGCGGTACATAAGCTCCATCAGAATAGTCTTTCTAAAAGGCGGTAATGACTTGCGAACCTCACTACAACAAAAATCCAGAGTCGGACTCCAAACTGTACGGAAGATATACTGTACGTGTAGACATCAGAACGTTTGGGATTGACGTCTGGAGGATAAACTCAATAGGATTCAAATGTCAACAGTAAGGAAGAGACAGCAGCTTGCCAAAAATGTTAATCACAAGATAGTAAATCATCTGATCACAACTGTCTATGATTTGGATTGTGGGGCGACTTTCAGTGTT